CGTTTGTAGGAAACTCTTCGGATTATGGCTGCTAAAACACTGAAAAATCAGTATCGCTTACAGATAGTGACGTTCAAACTTTCCCGGAAGGGGAAGAAAACCCAAACACGGAAAAAAAAACCGAAAGCTACGTATTCAATGGCATTTCTCTCGGCTGAGAACAAAAATCGACAACTGGAAGACTTGCCACAGGCCGTTTACCTGAAATATTTCGTCCATTGCAGGGCGTGAAATAAATTATTTTTTCTGATAGCCACTTGGCTCCTAAATTCTTCAAAGTGGTAGCCAATTCAAAAAAAAGTTGGTCGCCATTTTCAAAGACAAACAAAATCTTTATTTACGCTGTCAGAGTTCTAGAGAGACCCTCCAAAATTAGGTTAGGGAAAAGATCCTTAACGTGCTACAAAGTGGACACTAGGATGGATGATATACGACATTAAAGCTCATCTAAATCCAAGATGGCGTTTAGTTATCGATCAAGATGCATGTGCTACGTTTTGGAAACAAACTTAAAGAGGAAGTTTGCCGCGGATTTATCTTTGCAAATCTTTTTAATTCACTATATCTCTTGGTAAGGTTATGATGAAACGTTCTAGTCGCCAATTTGGCGACTAACTTTCAGGATTTGGTCGCCAAAGTGAAAAATTTAGTCGCATTGGCGCCTGTATTAGGCGCAATTCACGCCCTGTGACATTGTTTGTTTTTGTAGTGTTTCAGCGCAGTTTTTCATCTTGAGCCTTACCGCCGACGCACTTTACGATTTTTAATCGGGAATTGTCGATCCTTTAATTTTCGTTCATTAATCAAGTTGACTTTTTGGTCAGTAAAGGGCTATTGAGTATATATATATATGATAAAAAAAATAACACACGGTTGCTTGTTGATATGAAATAACTGTTCTCGTGTTCAACTCGACATCTCACTCGCGAGCTATCGAGTTCAACACTCAAAGAGAAATTCCATATCTACGCGCGCCCATTCGTTATTCTCTAGTTATCAACTCATTGATGATGCGAACTGGCCACTGTAAAGAGATATATTGTAAAGCTAACGTTTCAAGCGTTAGCCCTTGTCAGGGCCCCGTTTCGCTTTTGATTTTGGGATGAAACAATATATCGAGGAATCCCACGTAGAATTCTGAAAGAACTCATCAGATATAGGCAGAAAGGAGAAAGTTAGTAGAACACTTCAGTTTTTCCTCTTTGTTAATTCTGATTCAGTTTTGGTGCTGTGAACTTACGGTTTGAATTACATCTGAAAACAAAACAAAAGGTTTTATGGATTTCGTTTCGATTACTTATGAGCTCCATCGACATACCGTTATAAAAAAAGAAAATCAAAACTAATATTAATGGCGATCCTCGCAGTTATGAACACTAGGCCTGAAAAAAGTTCAGGCCCGCACGGGATTTGAACCCATGACCTCTGCGATACCGGTGCAGTACGGGATTTGAACTCATGACCTCTGCGATACTGGTGCAGTACGGGATTTTAATCCATGACCTCTGCGATACTGAGACCCCTGCAGCGGTATCGCAGAGGTCATGGGTTCAAATCCCGTACGGGTCAGTACTGTTTATAACTGCGAGGATCGCTATATTCGTTTCTTCCACCGCAGTGCTCATGTATGATTTTCATGTATTTACAGTCATTATTCACTATTTGGAAGGTTTATTTGGATCCAGCATAACGACCAGCTCCCGGTTGGCTTGTTAGCTCAGTTGGTAGAGCTCTGCATCAAAATCACAAATGTTTTCATTACGTTTTGAGCTTCTTCTAAAATTTTCTGAATTTCATCCATAGATCAGCTATTGTGTTTAACAACTTGAAGAAAGAACAAATTAGCGGTTTTGGATGCAACAACTACTTTTTTGATTAGGCTCGCATAACACCTGTAGCGCTTTTCCTTAACTTCACGGTGCATAGCCTGTATGTTAAGTCGCCCATGTTTCATTATGATAGACACTAAGTGTAACATCTTCTAATAGAATTTAACCAGAAGAACTGTGTCAAGCACACGATACTACAAAAGCATGTGCTCCTACAAGGTCACGTGATCTATAAAAACGATTACGTCATTACATCCCTTTCTTCCTTAGAAATATAAACAAAGAGTAAAACTATAAACGGTTACAAAGAAAATCGTTCATGGAGTCCTTGGTACAAAATAAACGAACATTATGTCTATGTGAATAGTTCTTGAAGTGTTCAATGTCTCTATGAGTTCAATCTGTCAGGTGGTTTGCGAATCCTCTGCGGATAACGCCTTGGTGAACCTTCCTGGAAATCAGTACTTCCTGATTTGACTGCTGTGTCCATCTCAACTGAAGTGGGAGTGGTGTTTTTCTCCTGATTAGCCTTCGTATCACTGAGCTGATCATCAGTAGGGTGGTACTGCTTGACTTCAGTTGTGTTTCGGTGCAAAACCCTCACGGGATGGTCGCTATCAGACACAAAAACCTGATTTCCTTTCTTCTCTTTCACTTTGTACAGCTGAGGTTCAAATGTGGGGGACAGTTTGTTCTTCTTATCCTGTTTCACGAGTACAAGGTCGCCTTGTTTCACCTCACTCATCTTAGCAATTCTTGAAGCATCTGCATACTGTTTGCTCTTGAATTTCATCAGTTGATCTCTGTCTCTGGTTTCCTCATCACCGTGGGTTGGTTGTGATATCCAGGTAACTTTGTTCTTGGATGTCGGCCCATCAGAAGAAATGCTGGTGTCTGTC